TCGACGGCCCCGTGTCGCAAATTTCGGAGGGAAATTGGATGGGAAACAACGACCGCTTCGCGGTAAGAGCGTTGTTAATCGGCGAGTCGAGCCGAACCGCTCGAAAGATGCCCGCCGATTGTTCCGTTGTTTCGAGGTTTCGATTGGGCTCGATTGAAATTGGTTCGCTGCTCCAGGTGGTTTCCTGAACTTGCTGAAAAATATTGGCGAATAAATCGTCCATCTTTCCCCTTCTCAGTGCTTTTTTCCATCGCGTGATTGCTGTTCTAGGACTTTCCGATGAATTGGAGAACTGTCGGAGTTGCTGAAAATATAGAATGAAATAAAAAGAGGCGTGGAGACTTCACAGCTAAAATTATTAGTGTCCAAGGCTTTACACCCTGTACATTGAACCATTATTTATTGGCCATAGTCGACCAGCGCTCCGACAGAATCAGATCCATCACTTTGAGAGGTAAATCCAATAATCCAGACCAACTTATAGATTTTCGGGACGTCGGTGACGTTTAGAATTTCCAGGACTGGCGGAAAGGTGGCCCGTCTAATATTTCCTTCAGTGTCACATCAATCCTAAGTGACGAGCGATCAATAAAGGCAGTCGGTCGTAAAACCAATAGAGCTGTCGCTTGGGTGTCGCCCGTGCATTCACGGACATTTTTCTGCCGCTTTAATCGTCACTGTTGCTGGGCGCCGAGGATCGGCATAGGCTTTACTTTTCCGAGGGACAAATATGGCGTCGAGAGATCGATGGGAAATGGCGATGGGCTTGGTTCATTGAAGCGTGTAACTGATTTAAACTTTACTGTTTGTACTGGACCCAGAAACTACAGTTTTTGCAAACAATTATTTCACATACTTCTGTTAGAATTGTTAGTAATTGTATATATATATGTGTGTACTATTATCAGAAAGAATATAATACTGTTATAATACAGAAATAAAAGCTTGCTACTTCCATTCGCTTCCCCCCACCCTCGCTCTCTGTCTTTCCGAATTCGTCTTACGTAACTCGTATATTGTTTCAATACAGTCTGCAGTATCTCTGAACTCTCATATCTATTGGGACCTGCTGGCCCCCTATAGCTAGGGGGTTTTACTAACAATTATTTCCATCCATTTTAATGTTACTTTGTCTTACGTAACTCGTATATTGTTCTAGTACTGTCTGCAATATCTCTGAACTCTCATATCTGTTGGGACCTACTGGCCCCCTATAGCTAGGATACCTCGGGGTCGCTAAACACGTATTGTAGCTGTACACGTGTATGCTACAACCCCTGAGGGTGAAATGGAGCTACGAAGCATCATGAACAAGTACCTACATATTTTAAAAGTACTTAATATCGAGCAGAGCACCGATTCATTAATTAGATTAGACGAGAGCGGTCAGTTTCGAAACTAAACATTTGTTACAGAAGTGTCAGAGTCCCCATGTGGTCCTATCGTCGTGGGATCAAAAAACTTTGATGGATATCGGTCCTAAATCACCACGTGCTCAAACCTTCGTCACCTTACTAATGATCCAGACCTATAAAAGTCCTACACATCTCAAAACAGCGACCTGACGCAGTCAAACTCGACAACCAGGTTACCCAACACTTCCCACAGAACAATTTCACATTTCCTAACCTCAAATCATCACGCGCTACCGATACCAATACTTCCCAACGACCTTCATCGCCTCGCTGGGTCCCCGATCGAACCTCAGACTGCGAGAGCTAAGTGGACAAGAAAAGAAGACAAGCATTCCTCGGGGATTACACGCATAACTACAACCTCCGACAAATCCCCTCGTTCCGACGTCGAAGTGGAACAAAGTTGCTAACAAAACATCGCCATCCGTCTTCGGCGAATCGGACACCATCGCCGAGAGAGCGCGATTTAGAAGGCTTCTCGGTTCCACGCGTTCGCGCTCACGGCACTTATGCGCCAGGGAGTCCAATTTATAATAGACTGGAACACGGTGTGGATTTAACTTCGAATGTAGGCCACCCAGTGTCGCGCGAGCACGCGTTCGAATCGCCACTGAGTGCTCGCGAGCGTCGTTCGAGCCGGGACGGAGTGACAGACCGTGGGGCGAGGGCAGAGGTAGAACAGGTGCGTTCAGATTCGATGGATTTATTTAAGAAACGCCGTGCATATACACGGCCGAACTTCCGCCTGATTTTCCCTCTAAAATTGGGCGTCGTTGGGACATAGCGTTGGCACGAGGAGCGTTGAATCGAATTCGAGATTCTGGGGCAAGTGTCCAGGTCGGATGGTGCGGGAAAGGAAACTGGAAGACTTGTAGAGACGAGGTATTTAGTCCGAGGACTGTTCGGAAGTGGAAATTGGAGGATGAGGTTCGCAGGGAATCGCAGGGTCCAAGGTGACCAGGATACATCGAGTGCAAACATCTGGAGTTAGGTCTGGAAGGATAAGGTTCGGAAGAAAACTTCTCTCCTTAGCTGATGGCCTATCGTAGTTAGCGTTCCTAAATTTTCCATTGCACAGCTTCCATTGCAAGTGTTCGAGTGTCCAACTTAATTTGTTTCAATTACATTCGTTAAACCGAACCCAGACCTAAACCTTTCGGACTTTAATTATTTACTAATAATATAATAATTACGTACTAATGTAATTTAATTTTTAAGGTTAACTTGGATTACAATTAGTATGGAAAAAATTTAAAAAAAAAATCCTAATACAGTAAAGACTGGATAAGTGCAAGATGACTATCCTCGCCACTGTGGGGTGTTCCCTCCTGACGTTCAGCGAGCGAGCAGTGTAATACGATCCTAACCGAGATATCGGTGAGACTATGGTACTATCGTGTCACCGATACGCTTCTGCTGACCGATTTTTTTCCTCAGACCTCCTTCTCTTTCACTCTCTGCCCTTTTCTACGTTCGACGCTCGACTCGAGCCAAATGTAAACACAGAATAGAAACCCGGACTGGATAATTGCAATGTTTCGGTCCCGATTTTCGTGCACTTATCCGGATACACTGTAGTGCAGTTTTTGCGGAAAACTGGTCTTTCTTCCTGGACGAGTCATCCAATTTTTCCACAAGCTCGACACCCCGACTGTCGTCCCTGTAATTCATCACTCCGCGTGGTCATTCATAATCCCGATCGATTCCCGCGTCACGTGGCGGTAATCACTCCGAATTCCCAGCGTTACATGTTTATGGACCAATTTCGCCGACCTACGCCGACGAACGCGCCAGTCGTACAAATCGGACGGCCGTCCGTGTCGCTCATTCATAAGTTTATGGCGCGTGAAATGCACGGCGCGCATTTGCATACTCGCGCGTATCATTCCGCGTGCTTTATAATCGTAACTTAAGAGGGACGTTTACGGCACTTCCAGGTGGAAAAGTGTGCCGTCGTTAAAAGCGGGCATCATGTCGTTTATCGCTAGCGTTGTAATCGTCGAAGCGTAAGCTCCGATGTCCAAACATCTCCTCGGTTCGAGTAATCGAGGATCCACCGTGCGATACTTTTGTTACCCCTTTGTATTGGGCGTGAGTCACGTCACGTGACACCTTCCCAGTTGCCTCTCACCAACCAGTTTCTGGGTCTCCATGTGTCTCTATTCGAGGATCAACAAGATTCTTTATCTGCCTTTTGTTTGATTTTTCCCACCAAGAGGCTCAACTGGTGGACGTAGCATCTAGGCTCTGCGAAGTGAGTCAGTCCAGCTGTGCGAGTCCTTGACCTGTATACGACTGGAAACAGCTTTGACTGATAGCTTCCCAAGTGAGCGACGTCCATGTTTTCATAGAGGGATACAGAACTGGCGAAACCTAAAAAAAAAAGGCCTCGTGAAGTATCGATTCTAGCGTAGCTCGATACGTTACGCCGAAGATGCGCAGCCCACGATACACTGCTCGAAACAATTAAGGGATCATGTTTCTAAGGAACCCAGGGAGTCGAACCAAAGCCTCGTGGAGCCCGAGCTGTTTGGATATTCGACCGATCCACCACTCGACCACTTGGGTACGTGACTATTCGAGTACTTGACCACTCGACTACTTGGATACGTGGCTATTCGAGTACTTGATCACCTGATTTGCTGCGCAACTGTCTACCTATCCGTCTGCCTACTAGACTACTTAACCGCTCGATTGCTTCGATTCTCCGAGTCTCGGCGATTTCAGTCATCGAATATTCGATGAACTCGCGCGAAAGAGAGAGAGAGAGAGAGAGAGAGAGAGAGAGAGAGAGAGAGAGAGAGAGAGAGCGTGTGGAAAGCGTCGGTCGTTCGTCGTTTCTCGGATAATTTTAGATCGGCAAGATAGCGCGCGGCGTGCGTGCGCCGCGACGCTGAAGCGTAGGGGGGGGGGGGGGAGGGGGCGAGCAGAGGTGGCGGAAAGAGAAAGAGCAAACCGTTCGGGCAGAGGTGTGGGAGGAATAACACCGGCGGGCGGAGTGGTTATGGAAGACGACGGGGAAAATCGGTGCCCGCCGGGGCGAGAATTGTTTACGAAAGAGAAAACGAAACGGGGCGAGGTGGGGGGCGGCGGGGGGTTGGGTTTCCGTGGGAAAAGGATGGAAAGGGTTCCGTCGAGATGAACAAGGCCAGAAGGAGAAGATCAGGGTGAAGATAGCGATGGGACTAATTCAATTGTCGCTGGGGAAAAAGCTCGATAAGCGCGAGACCCAGATTCGAGGGGTTTCGAGAGCCCCGCGACGCTGAAACTTGAGAGAAGTTGAGAGTCGTCGATGTCCCAGTATGTCTCGCGCAGCGACGGCGGCTCGGGGGGCCCTCGAGTAGCACCTTTCTGGTCGTGCTCCCGTCACACCATAGGTTATTTCCCGTCGCTTTTCATGGATGGAAGAATTCGACGTACAGGGTGGTCCGCTCCGCTAGTAAGTGTCGCCGCAATAGAATGAAGTACCCGAGGTCCTAGTATAAGTAAGGGAGAGCCCTAGTGACCCCCGCTGCGAGGGATCGTCGAGTTCGTCGATGACAGAAATGGGATGTCTGCTTCGTTCTATTGCGGCGGCACTTCCTTTCGGGTCTAGTATCAAGCGGATCGCCCTGTAGTAACAGGTGTTTCGTAAACCTCCGTAAACCTGGCGTTGATTAAAATAAAAATGTCGATCGACGCCTTGGCCGATCGAAACCGTTTCGAGCCGCCTCGAGGCCGTCGCTACCGGAACGGAGACAGTGATAAACACCGCAGCGAGGAGGCGCGAGACGGACGTACCAGAAGAGAAAGAGTGGGAAGAGCGACGAGGACGTCGCTCGGAAGAAGCTCCACCTCGCGGCGGAGGGACAGAGACAGGGCCACGAGAGTCAGGGAGCGAGTGTTCTACTCGGACGCAGTTATGCCGACCAGCTCAAACTGGGTGCCGCCAAATCGAACCCCGGTTCGAATTCCGCACGGCCGCGGCCGCGAGAAGGAAACGCGCGAGGAAGAGGAAGAGGACGCCGAGGAGGAAGCCAACGGAAAGGGCTCGTGCCGGTGAGATAGGACAACAACGCGAGGAAAGGCACGAAAAAGGGAGAAAAAGGTACGTCGCCCGAAGGAAACTTTCTGCCTTCCTGAACCAGTGTATGGAGAGAGAGAGAAAGAGAGAAAAAAAGAAAGAAAAACGCGAGAAAGGGCGAGAAGGTTGGACACAGAGAGCCGAGAGGAGGGGGAGGAGGTTCGACGAGGGACCAAGCGCCACGTCGGGAGATAAAAAGACGAGCGAGAAGGTCGGGGCACCGTGCCGCCGGTCGTTAGTGAGGTGCAAGTAAAAGAAGGATGAAAAAGGGTATTGTTGCTTCGAGCTGCTCGTGTTTTTGTTTCTCTTCTTTCCACGCTCCTTTCGTCTCTAGTGAATGTGTGTCGCGTGTGACGAACCCTCTGTGTCGGGTCTTTTTTCCTCCTTTCCCTGCCGCGGTGGGAAACTCGGCGGGACTTTTTTTTTTTACACACGCGCGCTTTGCGTGGGCTCCTCGAGGTCGCGCGGCGATCGTTTCCGGGCAAGACGTTCACGTGCTTTCCAAGTGGAAATAAGTTCCGGTTGAAGGATGGGAGCACGGGAAATCTAGGAAGCCTGGAAATTGGCAGGTATCGCTCGGTTGATGACGTATCGAAGTTTAATTCTAAGATGACATTTTCATCGACAGATTCGAATTTTTAATTCGATTTAATTTGTGACTATTGTTCTTTCTTAGGTGGGAGCTTTCGCCAGTAAATTTTTCTGCGGAGGTTGCACGGTGTCGGTTCCTACGGGTCGAGGGTATTTTCTGCGTCGATGATTCAGAGACGTCCGGCGATCATATGGTCCGTATTTACGACTCGAATGATCGAGATTTCACGGGATGGGATTGACAGGCAAAATCGCGACGGCGGCTATATGAAAACGGTGTAGACGAGAGGAATTAAGCGTGGTTTCATTTTACGGGGTAACCTAGATCTTTAAAACGACACTTTTCTACGTAACTACAAATCCCGGTTTCTAAAAAATGACGAATTATCGAAACGTTTGCCGAAAAGTGTGACATAAAAGATTTATTTCCGTTCAAACCGCCTGTCAGCTGTTCGACGATTGTCAGACACCGGTCGCTGAAAATTTTCACTGTTTTCTTTCCTGCCTATTAATACTCGGCTGTTTGGATTACGAATGGTGCCTTTAGGAATGCACATACGTCTTCCCTTTCGTTTCATTCACGAAGAATGCAACCTACGTTCGGAAATTTATTTTCCTCGGAGGGTTCAACGCGTTTACCCCCTCCATTTGCCACGGTTCGGGTTACACAGCATCGTCTGTTCCAAGTTGAATGCGAAAACTGTGAACAAACCTTTCGGCTTTCCATTCATTCAACGAACTTCGACATTTTCGCGTCGAGACCCATCGATCCTCATCTTTAAATTATTTTGGACAATCCGGCATCGAAACTATGTGACTAAATTTCTAGCTTCGAATCGTTAGCACAAATCGATTAACTCCATAACACAAAAAGGATGTCGAGAATTGCAACGAAATGGTCTCTGAAATAAATTATTTATTATTCAATGGCAAATTTTGTCGCTTAACGATGTCGGTCTATATTATTCGGGGAATTATTATAAACATCAAAAATTATGACTACGCCAAGACACTTAACCCTTTGCGGTCCTATGTCGAGTGAGGCTCGACAAAAATGTACTGAAATCAGAAAATTCGGACTGCGAATGGCTAAATTTACGATTTTTCAAAAAAATGGAGTTAATCGACTCGTGCAGTGAACGGCTGACGTAACTCCCGCTATTCTCGTCTAATCTTGGCCAGTGCTCGATAACATCAAGGGGGAAGTAAAGGGAAAGCAATTTTGTGGCTCCGCGATGACAAAAGTTCATCCAACCAGCCCGAGGATAGCAATCGCAAAAAGACGACGCGAAATCAAATAGCACGGGCGTCCGTCAACTGTCCTGCGCGTTGGCTCGCCCGAGACATCCTGGACAGGGGGATGATAACTGCCCCGGAGCGAAAAAATACATCTTCCTTTTTTCAGTTAGCCGCGTCACTGGCCTTTATTGCTGCGCCCTACCCCTCCCCGCGGCCTCACCTTTTATGGCGCTGCAACGGCCACGGAACGATCCCGGTCGTCGAAAACGCGTCCGCACCCTTGAAATAGAGAACCGGCGGGGGTGGCGTCATTTTTCCTGACGCAATTCCCTCGGTTTTTCCGGTTGTCCTTTCGCCCTCGGGAAATTTCATTTTCTTTGCCGTCCGCGCATCCCCCGGGCGTACCCGGGGATGTGTTTGGAAAGCTTTGACGCGTGTTTTCCCTGTTTTTCGGGAGACTAATTAGGGGTTGGGTAGAGTCGGAGATACCCGGGGTCTTAAAATATTATTGGGTACCTGGAACCCTCTTAGGGCTTGTCAGTGTTCAAAACATCTCCATGGGTATAGTCACTGATAGGGGATCTCGCGAGGTCGTTAAACAGAGCATTTCTTGCACTTATCCGGTCTTTACCGAATGTTTGGGAGAAAGTGTGGTTCGTATCGAAGTAGTATCGGCCGACATTGATCAGACAAGCTTACATTTTTTGGTAATAATCGACATTTTAAGTCGCATTTAATTAAAACTAGATTACATGAAAAATTAGGTTATTTAAGCAAGGTTCTAGGGTGGATTGACCCAAATACAGTAACAGGTATTCTAGGTCAGTCTCGAGATCGAGACCAAGCGACTTACATCGATCCTCTATAGCAAATTAAACGAATTAAGGGTGATAATGTCGACTACTTCAGCTTCTATTATAAAATATTTAATACGACAGCCACGAAACCGTACTCCCTGTAATTCTTAATCAAAATATCTTCTTTAATTCTTCCGACCACCCCGTAAGTTTACCCCTACTAAATTTGTAAAATATTGTCACAAGAAACAAAAAAAAAACAAACAAATACCAACACGGACCATCTGTCACGTGTATCGAGAAATTTATAGCGAGTGTTGCGTGCCAAGTGAAAACGAAATTTTAAGAAAACGCGCGCCGAAAGATAAATCAAAGCGTAAATTGAACCTTTGCGAGTTGAACTCAAACAACGGAACGAGCTGTTGATGACTCAGCGCCACTTTATGCACTCTGGCTACGATCGAGATTGATGCATCATGACAGAAGATGATGCAATGCGATATAATTGTTCCGACTGAGTCAGACTTGTCGCAATATACAATTCTCCACTATCTCTGCCCTTCCAATTTCATCCCCGAAATAATAAACAAATCTCGTTGTTACCATTAAACAATATTGCCGAACCGTTCTCATAACACAAACAAATACAAATTATAATCTGTAATTGTGTTGCGTTGTTTATATCGTTAAAGAAATTTTCCGTGAGATTATAATTAGATCTCAGGTGTCGGGGTGCAGACAGTTTTATTTTCGTCGCGTAAATGGAAATGCAGCTAGAACTCGCGAGAACGGCCCGACGGTCGAGACTCGATTTTCGAGCGTTCAAACGAAGCCGCGACGCTATTTCGGTTCCCGATCGTCCACTCGAGAAAAAAGCTGGCTCGTTTGTCGAGGATCGATCAAGTTTTCATCGCGACGCGTCCGAGAGGAAAACGAGCAGCGTTAATCGTGCGGCCTCGATGAGAAGTTTAGTGCTTCTTTTTTTTTTCTCTCTCTCTTTTTTTACTTGGCACAGCGAGAACTGTTCTTCCGCGCGATGGAGAGGCTCGAGGCGTAACGAGATATTCGTGAGACGAGGAAATTTCTGGGAAACCAGACGTATTTGGTATATCTTTCGAAAACGAAATCCAAACGGAAAGTAACGTCAAAAAAGATTATTTAATATATCGAGTTAGATTTATAAATATTATCCTGTTTACTTTTTTGACTTCGAGTACGCTGACTGTCCGTTAAAAAATATTTCAGTGGTCTGGAAATCTCACCTTCTTTAGATTACAATTTTCAGTATTCATATTTGTTTATTCAAATGTTTGTTATTCAAATGTTCAAAGACTGCTCCCATGTCGTAAATACTTCGTCCTCCCCCCTTCTGTCCTTACTTCTTCGCGCCGGCTATGGGATCACAGGCATCCCTCGAAACTCCATAATCGTTCCGACGCGTCGCAAAAACTCCGCGGGCCAATTTATCCAGCGACAGTTTTCCCAGCCTCTGGCCACTGTTCGTTCAGCGTCACTAAGGGAAGACGGAGGAGTGGGTGGGGGGTTGATTCACCGCTCGTGTGATTTAGGAATTGTCGGGACGGTTGGAGGGGGTGTAACCCGCTTTCGAGGACAGAACGATAACCCAAGTTTAAATTGGAGGGTCGGCCACTTAAGATTCAGTTCCATAAACTGGAAAGTTCAGCCCCACTTTCCAGCGGCAGCGGGACGAACTTCGCCCGTGCCTGACGCTGCAATTAGGCGAGTATTTTCGATCGAATTCAATTAGCTCCGCGACGAGCTAGCCCTCGCGGAGACAAAGTTCGCGACGTTGGCTGGTTTCGCGCGAGTCTTGCTCGCGAAAATAAAATCGTGGCTCTTGTTATCCTCCAAATGAAATATTCTTGAAGCTATGTACTATTGTAAGACCGTTCCAAAGTCAGTTAACGTCGCGGGAGTCCCAACAGTGTTGGACACAGGGTTCTGAAATGTTTTATTTTTTATCCAGTGTTAGGTTTACCATGGTGACCCAACGTGACCAAATTGGGGGCACACTTCGATCATAAAACACTTCCTAGATTCACAACCCTCTATGATCTTCTTGTGGTTCTTATATTCTGCATTTAAGCTCCAAGATTGTCATGGTGACCCAACGTGACCCAATTGAAGACAACACGTTGATCATAAAACACTTCCCAGAATCACAAACCTTCCATAATCCACTTGTACTCTTCATATTCTGCATTTAGAACCCCAAGACTATCATGGTGATCCAATATGACCCAATTGGGTGCAATACATTGACAACAAAGCACTTCCCAGACCTCCAGCCTCCTGTTATCTTGCCATAACCCTCACATCCTGCATTTAGACCCTCAAAAGTACCACGCTGGCCCAGCTTGTCCCAGTTTCAGTAAGCTGAAATTCTTCCGTACCGGGGCACGAAGGGTGGGAAGAGGTTCGAAAACATGTTCGCGCGGGTGACCCCAGCTGGCGTGATGCAACCGCATGTAAATCATCCGCAACAGGATCGACCGGGCGAAACCAACGTTGTACCGCGCACTTCTGGGCGCACTTACGCGGAACGACGACGATGCACATGTTAACGTGACGCGGGGTAAACGTCGGCAACACGTGTCGCGCGAGTAATCCATGGGTTGTCGTTACCTCGACCGTGTCACAAATGCACCGCCATCGGCACGCTGTGTATGCAGCCGATGTAGCCGATTCACTGGCTCCCATCCACGCCAATCTCGTCGCGCGACTCCCGAGGAGTCAATTTTTCGAACTAATACGCGTACGGTAAATACCACTGGCACGCACTGGGTGTCCCACAAGTAGCGATAATGTGTTTCTTTAGGTATACAGGGCTATCGAATCGAGCGACGTTGATTGGGGAGATACGAGGGATTAATTAACGTTTAGGAGTAAACCCGAACTAACTCTCGAGTAAGTAGGCCTAATCCTTGACCTAACCTATCCCCAGCATAACTAGACTAATATGTTTTTCTTTTTTTGAATCTTTGCACTCATTTCGTGTTTCTGCGAACAGATAACGCTGACAATAAATAGAAAATGTATCATTACATAGATATAACAGATTGAGGTTTCATAAATTATTAGAATCATTTTTTGACTTGCAGGACGGTTATCGTGGTATTGTTCGAAGTTAACAAAGAGCAGAAGTTTGCGCTGTTAGCAGAAGGTCGTATAATTTCATCTGTTCAACGTCGTAGAGCCGATCAAACGTAATACACGGCCATCAAAATGCGTATCGAATCTCGCGACCGGAAATCGTTAAAATCGCCAGGTGTCGGATAGGCTGTTGCGTCTACCGAACGTTTCCGCGGCGCGGCGCACTTCAAATAAACCCATTTCTCTTTTTCTTTGTCTCGCGTCTTCGTCGAGCTATGCAGAAATAATAACCAACCGAAAGCCGAACCTTTTTAATTGATTAAACTTGTAATATAATTTTTGTATCCGGACAAATCAATTCAAGATACAAAAGAAGAAACATCCAGCCCCTGATACCGATATTCAGGTTAGACCCATCGCGGTCTAAATTTAGATAATTCGTTAGAGCAACGAGGCAATAAAGCACGTGACCAATTTGTAAATAAGAAATCGCGGGAGAAAATTCACAGAACGCTGAACGTAAACGGAGCGCGTGGTGCAAAAATAACTAAATCGAATATAAAGGTACTTTTCTATGGCAGCGCGTGTACACTCTAAATATCAGCGGCAAATTTTCCAATTGTACGTTTCGAACAGTGGGCTTCGGAGAATTTAAAATTATCAGATTGGCGCAGGAATTCCGTTCGGTAGTAAACAGGAATTCAATTTTTAGTCTTGGCACGCCGGTTGCCCAAACCACTTGCAATTTAATACGCTACACTTTACCAGACTCGATTTATTACATTTTCTGCTTGGCACAATGTGCGCTCGAGTTTCTTTCATTCAAAACAACGAACCCGAATGAACAAGTTAAATTTATTTTCCTCCTTAGTATTCTCCTACTCTCGTATCAGTTCCTGACTGTCGCCGAAAATATTCGTAAATTTTGAACCTCAAACGTTACCGTGGAAAAATATCTAATTAAGAAATAATTCTTTAATTTAAAATCTCCATCGACGAAACTCTCTGAATATCAACTTTCCGGCCCTAATACCCGAAGACAGCCAAAATTTCGCAACGACTCGAGAAGGGACGCCCCTCCTCGTTAATCCTCCGTTCCCCCTCGCGCACGTTGAAGGTGCTCGGAGTTTTGATAAGTGTCATGCAAATGCACGCGCGGCTCTTAACGAGCCCTAAGTTTTTGCCAGGACGTAACTTTCCCATGGAGTTTCTTTCGATGCCTCCTGGCATTAAAATGCATCCGCGTTCAAATGAACGTGATTACAGTCGCGCGTATTTCGGCGAAAGCGGCCGGGAAACGACGGAACTTCGTTTCCCCGCGAAACTTCCCCGAGGGAATTGAAAGAAAAAAAATGATAGAGAGAACTTTTTAAACTCTTCCTGATTGCGGCTTGGAGCCGTTTGTTGCTCGATATCGCGATCCCAGCCGGAACGGTGTTTGTTTTAACAATAATTCCGACCTCGTTTTCACGACGCTGTAACATACACCAAACACGAACAAATAAACCGGGATTATTTTTAAATTGACGCGGACGAACGTACGTCACTATACATTTCAACGTAGGAGCTTAATATCGCTTCGGTTTGACGAATTTCGATATCGAACGAAGGAATCTTTTCTTAATCGTTGCGAAATTTTGAAACAATTTAGATGTCAAAAAAGAACTTTCGATATCGATCGTTAGAATGGAATCTATCGAAAGAAATTCGAATGTGTACGATCGTCGTGCCGCTGACACTTAAAACTGCGCCTGAAGTGGAATCAGTGTGAACAGTAGAACAATACCGTCCCAGGTCAGACTCGTGACGTCGAATATAAATAAAGCTCTACAAGGGGCGTACAATAAACCGTGCTCTCGTTAATGTAACAATAATCACGAAACGCGAGGGCCGTTCCTCGGGGTTCGTGTTCCTTGTCTTAATTACGGTATCCAGAGGAAATCTGGAGCACTTACCAAAGCCCGGAAGCGCCGGCAGGAGAGTTGTTTATAAATCAATTACGTCCGTGCATTGTCAAAGCATTTTCTGCCTCGATTAATTTCACCGCCTCCTCTGCCTTTCCCTCGGAACTTCATCGTGCGCAATAAAACAACCGAACGCGACGTATTATACAATTCGTACCTTTGTTACATTTTCGCATACAAGGTGTCCCATTTCGATCTTTCGAACGAGTACACGATTATCCACGTGGGAAAAGTATTTTAGCGATAGATAAATCAAACGTGTAATTAAACATATCGATCGCAACGGAGTTATTATACAGAGTGTCCTGTTTTGTATTCGAGTTCGTGCTTTGCTCATTCCATTTGCAATTTATTACACCGTTGATTTATCATTAATCAGTTTAATCGCAATTCGAGTATTCTGTATGAGTCAATCTCTCTTCCTTCGATGATTCGACATTTCTTCTTCCGTTTCGTCCACTGGTTCACCACCCTCCCCTCTTTCCATTTAGTCTCCCCCACCTTTTCTCTTTCTCCTTCGTCCATCCCCTTTACCCCCTACTTCCCACTCCAAAAGGTAACACAGCCCACAAACGAATGAACGACGATATGCACCTGAGCTTTCATGCCCCCCTCCTCCCACTCCTGCATCCCAGCCACGCTCCTCTTTGATGTCACTTCCCAGACTCTGTGTGTATCGTGTGCGGCGAGAAAGAAAGGTAGGGAGAGGCGAGAGACGACCAAAAACGCTCTTCAAAGCATAGATTTACGCCCTCCACCACCGCCACCCTTCCCCCCGGTTCTCACTCGCCACTTTCCACCAGCGAGAATGTTTTCCTATTCCATGCATCCGTCGGGAAGCGTGCAGCTGCAACCCGAGCCGGCGTTTCCAAGGGTGAATCGGCCCGCCGGCGAGCGCTTTAATCGCCCATCCTTTGGGACAACTCGCGGGGAAGTGCTCGAAACGAAGATGAATCGGAGATACGATGCAATTTTTGTTAATATATACTGATATTATTTTATTTTTCAGATTGAGTGCCGTTGAGAGATCTGCGACATAGCGAGCAGCTAATGGCTAACTAAGGAGACAGGACTAATATCTTATGATCTGAAACTGGAGGATTCGAGGATTGGCCACCGGTCTTCGAAACTCATGTAAGCGAAAATTAAATTTTCATTATTGTTATATCTTCGTTTGCTAAATCAACATTCTCATCGCAGATTTCATCGCGGAAGTCGAGGCTTGAAAGAAGTCTCAGAGGCAGTCTGAGACAGTTGACAAAAAATCAAAGAAGACAGAAAGGTAGGAAGACGTTTCAGAAAAAAGAAGAGACGACTGAGGCAGCAAGGGAACTTTTAAAGAAGCATTCCAAGAACAGGAAGGGTTCTAAGATACCTCCAAAAGAAGAAGAGTCAGGAGAAACATAATTTAGAAGAGAAGAATAATGTATCTAAAAGGTATCCAAAGGAAGAAATAACAATTGCGAGAGTCTCGGTGAACACCTCTAAAAATTCGAAAAGAATCAAAGTGTCTGAAGGTAACCAAGCAAGCCCTGAAGAGGTATCCGAACATTCAAAGTAAGAAACCTACAGCAAGGCCTGAATCTGCCTAAAAGAAGAGTCCCAGGTGAGTCTAAAGGAAGAGATAACAATTCCGAAATAAGAAATAACGAGTCCATCTGTATATCCTAACCCAGACCCTAACGCAGAGCACTGAACCCCAACGATATGTTCAAGGTTCCATGAAGAACACCTTCGACGCGCTACAGGGTTGTTGTTCGGTGGGGGTGGCGTAAAAATTCTGACGACGATAAATTCGGATCAGCGGCGCGGATAAATCCCGCGGGAATCGAAGCGTGAAGGGACCAGGGAGGAAGTATCTTTCTTTTTTTGCCCTACAAGGACAGAAGATCGCGCGGGATAAATTCCCGCGAACGCGCGAATAAATTGAAAGAAATACAGGGGAACAAAAGAAAACCGAGGAGCGCTGATAAACGGTGAGTAATGGGGGCGCAAATTGCGTGCGAGCGACTCGAACTGATAAACGAACGATGAGAGTTTTTTTGCGGGTAGCGCGGATGCACCTGGAATATCAGGTCGCGATTTCGCTGGCGATTTTTCTGGGACAGTGTTTGACATTCTACGAATTTTTTAGGGGTTGGACCGCAGAGGAACGAGAAGGGAAGACCGAGGATTGTCCGAAAGAGGAAGAGTAGTCTGGGAAGAGTCTGAGAGAAGGGAATCTGAAGAAGAGAATATTTTGAATAATATCGCGGAAGAGAAGAGAGTCTGAGGATTTGTTGAAGAGAAGGGAATAGCCTGGGATGAGGTAACAGTTGCAAGAAGAAAACACGAGGAAAGTCTGAAAGAAGAAAATAGTAGAATTCTGAAAAAATCTTCTGAGACCTGTCTCGCCAAGTCTAAAAGAAGAAATAGGAACGTTGAGAGTGTCAGTCGTGCCAAACGTAACGAGACCTATCTGGAGAAGTCTGCAAAGCTCCAAAAGAACCTAACCTCACCAGTTGAACCGCGAAAGAAGAAATCCACAGAAAGTCCTGAATCCATAAAGCGCATAAATGAGAAAGCGGCGAGCAGACCGAGACAACACCCAGGGGACTAAGAATGAAGTCACATAACATTACGTAGCTACTTGAACGCGTTGCTTCGTTCTCCGAAGACTTCCGGAGTCGGTTCCTAATGGCGCAATATAATTCAACGCGTTCGCAGCCATTAAGCGAAGATAAAATCCCTGTCGAAGAGCTAATGGCCAATCGTAAAGCTGCCAGAAGGCGGACAGCGTAAAAAACGTGGCAGAAACACGCGTCCTGGTGTTTCGCGGAAGACGTCTTTTCTCGTTTCGCTTCCATTATGTATGTCCTCGCTGGTTGAAAGTATTCGTTGAGTATCGCGCGGTGAACGTTCGGCGAGATGCCGTGAATCTGTGACCATGGTAAGTGTGAGTCCTGTTAAGTGTGGTGGGTGAAGTGGATTTTTGAAACGGTGCCTTGGCTCTAAATTAACGAACACAATGGCGGGCACTGGAGTGAGCGTAGCTGGAGCTGGGATGCTGAGGACCAGACGCAGGGACGTCAGCGTGAAGCCAAACAGGAAACTCGACCGGAAGTCCTCGAGGGGGATGATATACGAGAACGAGGAACTGAGACTTAGAACTATTCGCATAAACGCTGAAGTGGAACAAGGTAATTAATGCTCGACTTTTCTGCCAGTGGCAAGTCAGGGAGTTGGCCTCCGCCATTGTTTGGATTCATATAATTCTGGTACCAAAGCTGTACGGACACTTTACTGACCTCAATTTGGAGATGATAATTGATAACATGCTTTCAAGTCACAGTTCTTGCATCAGGTTCAAGTAAGGTAATCTTGCCCGATGTCTATGTCTTTGGAATTCTATTGCACGTTTCATTTACGTCAGTCAATCATTCATAGTGAC